GATAGAACCCACAACCTGGGTGTGTGCTCTGACCCAGCATTGAACCCAAGACCTTTTGGTCCATGGGATGACACTTTGACCAACCGAGCCACACCGGTCAGGGCCTGGTGTTTTATTTCTTAAAATGATTGTCTTTGAGGTGACAGTGTTCCTCAAATGAAAGAAATCATAGGGTTTGAGTTGCTTCAGGATTCTGTTCTTAAAAAGAACTACTGTCAGATCATCTATGATAGATTTTACCCTGGAATATTTCCAGGGAAATTATACATTCTATATTTTTCCTGGGTATCACATTGAAATGTTTTGGTTTGGGCTCCACTCAGTTTGCATAAGTTGTAATTCAAGCAGGGGCTATGCTGATATTTACCTTTGAATTATCTATGGAAGAAATAAAAACATGGTAAAGACTGAAGAGGGATGTTTAAATCTCTTTAAGGAGTCAAACTTTTAGATATCTAATGGATAAGCAAATTAGGAAATATCTATTCATTAAAATAAATCTTGTATAAGGGTAGTTACTTGTCAACACAGGATTAAATTGGAATATTTGTGAATCCTTGAAAACAATCTTAAAACTTTTATCCGACTTTTCATTAATTCAGAATGGGCTCACCTTCATATAGCTTCAGCTGGTGAGATTTTATTTTCTTCCAGTTTCCCCTTCTCCTTGTAATAAGTCCTTTCTAATGCTGACCAAATCTCTAGTCAATATCATTCACTCTGGTATTGTCCTTAGGCGTGCACGACAGTTGGTCAGTGCCCTCTTTATGATGTCTTTATACTTGATGACGGTGATTAAAGTGTCTCTTGGCTCTCTTTCACCAGGCTGCACAACCCCAACTCATTTAGACTATCCTTGTAGGCCCTATTTTGTAGTGCTTTAATTTTTTTCCGCTGCTTTTCTCTGATCTTCTCCAACTGCTTTGCAATTGTTTAAGAGGTAACCTGACGAACAAGCCTAATCTAAGGTTTGGCATTGGCCAAATATTTAATAGATTACCTATAAATAAAGAAAGGTGGTTCAGTGTAGTAGGGGCAAGAGAACTGGACTAGGAGGTCAGAAGATTTCAGTTCTGCCCTTGCTCTGTCACTTAAGAGGATTAAGCAGAAAGCCATGTTTGGACAAATCATCTAAATGTCTCTAAGCATCAATTTATTTTCTGTAAATCTGCGATAAACACATCTGCCCTGCCTACCTCCCATAGGGAGGCTCAAATGAGATGAATCTATGTGAAAACACTTTGTTTAGCATCAAATCACTATATAAACACTACATGTTGGGAATCTTTCTAAATAGTTTGCATGTATCAGCTCATTAAGGTAAAGATGTCATTCCCATTTTACAACCAGGAAATGGAGCCAGAGAGTTAAGTAACTTGCTCCAGGTCACACAGCTAGAAAGTGACAGAATCCATGAAGACTGGCTCCAGAATCCATTCTCTGAAACTGTAGCTGTCCAACAAAGCCATTCATTTTATGGAGTCTGACCTTCAAAAGCAGTCCACAGATATTATATGCTACTGGGATGGAAGATCTATTCAGTCACGGGTAGATAACTCTGTGAAAGGCAACTTTATCAAAAGTTAATGTTTATATTAATCATTGAATTAAGGCAGCTGTCCACCAGTGAGGAGCACCTCATGAACACAGTACAGTAATAAGAATGCTCTATCAGGTCAGGTCAATTGTTCATTCACTAATAGTACACATACATCTTCCAGTAGAAGGTGTTTTAATTCTTAGCTTCAGCATCTAATTTCTCAATACTCATTGTGAGCCCTGACAACACTTCGTGCTTTCATTTGTCTCTAGATCTGTCCCTTTGTATGTTAATTCCTATAGCCATAAATTTGGAATAATTTCTTTATAGATTAACTGTTAAGGAGAAATATTAAAGACAAATTAGTACCCAATGGAGTCCTTTTTTTCCTGCTGTAGTGTAAGAGTTGAAAGAGATCAAAAAGACTTTGAAAGAAATTTGGAAGAATTTTGATTTATCCCATAAATGTGTGAACATTCACAAGGAGAGTTAGAACCTATATCATGAAATGGTGGAATTATGTTTTGTAAAACTATATTGATGACCTGCTTATATTTGAAAAATTGTACCATATTGAGGTCTTTTCTTTTTAAAATATATAAACTTTATTATATTTTTGAGGTCTTTTCATTATCACCCATTTTATATACTGTACTATATGAACTTACTTTATGCCAAAATCTGATCTATAGGGAATAGGGTTACAGTGATATATAACAGGCTTTTCTACCTCAAATAGTGGAATTAAGAGTCATTTTGTGGGAGGCTATACAAATTTTCTTCTGAGAAAATAACCACCACCCAAAGCTGAAAACACCTTTGGAGAATAGGGGCATTTTCTGGGAGGTCTGTTGAGTTATAAATGTTATCATTCCAACCCATGATCTAGATAGTGAATTATGATAAACTTGCCAAAAATGGTTAGGAACCAATGAGAAAAGTGGTATCTCTGTATTTTAGTAAAAAATTATTTAAAAAATGTTTTCTCTTAAGAAGTATGTTGAATTTGTTACTTAATTTAAATAATTTTAATGGGAAATCTATTTTTATACAAAAAATTAAACTTTGGTAAATTCATGATATCATTAGAATAGATTTGGACAGAGAGCCACCATCTTAAACCTTTGAGAAAACGTGTTTTAATAATCATATCATGTGGCTGCAGATACTATTTCGCCCCTTGGTGGAAGCACAGCAAAATCAGAGTGAAACTTATTGAAATGTGCTTATTCAATACTCATCCGTCTATCCGTTCATCCACCCATTCCTCTATCCATCCAACACTATGGGCCAGGTACTCTCCTGAACCCTAGGGATACAAACTGAACAAGACAAATATGGCCCTCACCTCAACATAATTATGGTCTAGTAGAAATTCCTTAAACGGTAGAGAAAACAATCATGAATTGATAGTTTTATGACATTTTCTTGAAAGAGGTAAAAAATAAGTGAAATTAGCTCTCTAGCTTTACCTGGATGTTGCTAAAACTTTTCTTTGAGCAATGTTCCCTGAAAAATTGTGTAGACAGTATTTGGAGGGATATTGTGAATGTGTATATAGAAGAAAGAAAGATAGAAAGTGAGACATGAAAGAAAGAACAGGGTTTTTCAAAACTGTTACTGTAGCTTTCCTGAAAGTATTTATAATAATGATTATGTTTCCCATAGCATTTTATGCTTTCTGAAGCAATTATACCAACCATGTGGGGTACAGCAAATTTTATTTTCCCCATTATGTAGATGAGACAGCTGAGGCATAGATACTTGAGTGCCCAAGGTCCCAGAGCTATATAGATTTCAGAGCTCTGCCCACTGCTTTTTCTATTACATCATGCTGAAAAATCTCAGACTCCAGTATAAGGTTCTATAAAATCCAAAAAATTTAACAAAATTTAAGATATTCAGGAAGCCAAATTCACTAGTACAAAAGAAGGAAAACAAAGTATGGCAACAAGGATGTTCCTCTGCTTTAGGGTATTAAGTAGGTCACCCACTAAAAGGCTATTTTGGTATAAAAATTTTAGAGGGCATGTAGTACATACACTAATATCACTGACCTGATTCTTCACTTTCATGATCTAAGAAAATCGAAGGCATTTTTTGGAAGGGAGGGGCAGGTCATTTTGATAGCTCAAGAGAATGTTAGTCGAGAAATTTGATTTAGTCAAGCTAGTGCTCTAGATTTTCTATGAGGTGTGATTCACTGGAGGTGATGCTGTTTTTAAGAAGGGGGCAGTGCAGAGTCAGCGGTTCTAAAAATTTTCACTCTCTCCCTCTCCCCTCCTTTCCTCTCCTCTCCTTCCATCCCCTCCCTTCCCTTCCTTTTTCTTACCTATTTTTTGGCACTATCTTTTTATGGACAAATAAAAACATATCTGACACATTGTTAATATTTAATTTGCTATAAAACCGCTCTCCTAGGCAATGGTTGCTCACTATAATTTCAAACTGAGGCTGTTTTGCCCCCCAGGTACACTGGGATCAAATTAGAATGGAAATGTTTCCCTTACAGTTTTGTTTATGGCAGCATAGCACTTTGTTATTAACTGGCAATGAAACTACTACCGAAAATAATAAACTTTCACCATATTTCAATTTGACTCTTTACTCCAAACAGAGTGTCCATCTGGCTTAGGATGAAACATTTCTCCTAATATTTTTTAACCTTAAATTTAAATATCCAAGATCAATAATGAATTCATTTTGCCCATTGAATAATACTTTCCTCCTAGTCTAAATTTCCTATATCTATTTCACTTTGTTCAGATTTTAAAAACCATGAACTTTTCTTCATATGCCATCTTAAAAAATGGTCTTCAATTACATACACCTTCTCTCTCTCTCCCTCCCTCCCCCTCTCTTTTTCCCCCACCCCATAAGACTATTCTGCAAAAATATCCACAAATTTTGAAGCCTAGTGAATCCTGCCCTGACTCTCTGCAATTAGGCCCCTGAAATAAGACCGCTTCTTTTCTGCCCTGCCTGATGCCTTGTCTGTTCCCTACTGGAAGGATGGTATGGGGAAGGAAGGGGATTACTTTAAAGAGTCAACTATCTATGAAACAGGTGTGGAGGTTGTGTTATCTGATATGTAGCATTATATTGCAGAGACTTTCAGATTAATCATGGTAATGCAATTTTCAACAGCTTAGATTTTTCTTTCCACCCTCCCCATTCTTCCTTCCTTTCTCCTTCCCCTCCCTCCCTCCCTCCCTCCCTCCCTCCCTCCCTCCCTTCCTTCCTTCCTTCCTTCCTTCCTTCCTTCCTTCCTTCCTTCCTTCCTTCCTTCCTTCCTTCCTTGCCTGCAGCCCCTGGGGAGGAAAAAAGGATTAGAGAGACTATCAAAAACTGTTGGCACATTTAGTCTGGTTGACTATTGAATTTATTAGAAGAAATGTGAACTACCTCAGGCTGATGATTTAACATGTTGGGTGGGGGGTGGAATAAATCTCTAACATACCTGTTCCAAAATCGTGTTAATCCTTTCGACTTCACAGTCAATGAGGAATCGCTTTTCCTGCCTCCTGTCCATTTCTTCAATGATGCGCCTGAATTCTTGGACATCCTTTATGTTTCCCACAGACCTTGCTGTCACTTGCCAGTTGTTTTGCACTGCTGCTTCCATAATTGCTTGGAGGATGGAAAATCCTGAAAGAATGAAAGACAGCTACAATGATGTTTTTTTCCTTTAAAAAATCTTTTTGTAGGTATTAAAAGTTCCACTGAGTTTTTATTCAGTCTATTGGGCCTCTGCGAACGTTATCTCTTGTGGACAGTAGGCTTACTCATAACCTCAGCCTTAACCTTCCAGAAAGTTGGCACTTCTATTTTGTTTTAAAGGAAAGAAGATTCTACAACTTGTGGGCAGCAGGCTAGGTATTTATCAAGCCTGTATTTAATCAACCGCAGTTGAATTATAGTACCTAATTGTTTTTGTTGACATGAATTATCAAAATATCTATGGAATAATTGCCAGGAGCTTCTTCCTTATTTCTGGCCACAATATTTCTTATTGTAGTTGAAAGTCATTTCTTTCATATTCCATATGAACATACTTCAGAATTAGAGATAGCTTTAGTAGGGATAGAATATTATTATAATATGGCTGATCCGTACATAGATATGATTATACAATAAGGTAAGTTATATCTTTCAAGTAAAATAACTCAAAAAACTGACAAAAAAGGCTATACCAAAAATATACTGATTCATTGAACACAACGTTATGAAAAAGTTCAATCATATTAAGTCTTCCTGAGCTTGTTCCATTTCTCAATTAAATTTACCAGGGATTCATGGTTTCTTTTTAGTTAATTTATATCAGACAACTATTAATTACTAACGCCTTGGATCTATGCTGAATGGGAAGGAGAAAAAAAATTATGATGGTTGAGTTTTTGGTAACCTTTTTAGATTCAAGGTTTGAGAAGTTGGGAAGAACAGTATTTCTTAAGGTGTGAACCACAGGATAGTACAGGGGTTTCTATGTACTGGTCTTTTAGAGTATTTGTATCTCTATATTATATGATGGTTCTATTTTTTGCTTCTGGTATTAATCCATAATCTGAGCATAATTTCATCAAGTGTTCATCATTTTATTGGGATATGGTCAAAAGCAACTGCTTTTTTCTAATAAATTTAAATGGTTTTTCATTTATATTTAGGTAATGACAAATGGGAGTAGGTGATGGGGATGCAAAGCCAAAATAACCTGCAGCATGGCAATTTGGCCATGGGAAGAGTAGAGAATGGAGGAAGATTGTGTTGCCCTTTGCACACATTCCAGGTTTGGTGCTGTCTTGGGCTCACCCTATAGTGTAAGCAGGCTATGGCTGGGAATCTTCTTCACCACATCATAGAAAATGGTATTGACATTTGGAAAGCATGCTTCAGGGAGATGACAGTGGTGACTCAGTCAGTCATTATGACTCCTTGGTGAGCTGGGTGTATGCAGGAAGAAGATCACAAATGAGACCCGAGATCTTGGTAATTTCCAAATGAGCAATTTCAGCACAGGAGCTCAAAATTACAGATCAGAGTAAATTACCATTGCTTTAAATGTTAATTCCTACTCTTTTTAAACCAGCCACACATATTTATTTCTCAGATTTGCATTTTCGTGTGGGTTTTTGATGTGCTCTCTGCTTCAGTAGGAGTTGAGAGCACATAGTGGGCCAACGCATGGGATTAAGAAATAAGCATAGGAAGAAAGAGATGAAAGTATTTGAAAATCTTTTTAAGCGGTCTACAATAAGGCCTTATTATTTTGAATCCCATTAATTATCAACTTATGAAAACTCAGCAAGGACTAGGTTGAATTCTACTTCTGTATTATTTATGAAGAAAGTGTTGGCTGAATGATAATGGCAATGAAACCACACAGGGTATCTTCGATATAGTTAAATTAAATGTTTAAAAGGATCCTTTTGAAAAATGCAAGATTTTTTTGTATGTTGATTCAAAACCTATATTCTTATAATCTGTACTCATTCATCCTGTTCCACCATTTTGGGGCCAAAAGGACAAATTTAATCCCATTACCATGTGATAGTCCTTCACATTTTAAAAAACAGTATATCCTTCCTTTTCTTCAGGCTAAAAATGTCCCAGTTTTCAGCAATTACTTTTATGACATGATGATAGTTTCCCTCACTGTTCTTTTTCCTATGGACATTTGTCAAAATGTTATTGATCCTGATAATTCACATGTGATCTGACCAATGTGGATGACAATGAGATATTGCTTATTTTGATATGGGCTGTTATTTTAGCACCTTAGGGTTGCTAATATTTTTCAATAGCCACATTATATCGTCAATTAATATGAAGCTTGGATTCAACTAAAGCATGTCAGTTCTCACTGTAAAACCTTTGCTCTGTAACAACTCACCATCCATGTATTAATATTCTTCCATTTCAACCTTTTATCTCTTTCCTTTAATCCCTTACTACATTCCAATTCTTACTTCTTCACTGCCTGCACATTGGCCGAAATCTGGAAGATGGTCTTTCCCACTTATTCAGTTCTCTTCTTTTTACCTATTCAAGGCAATTGCACCTGTATATTCCTTTTTCTGGCACCTCCTATTATCTATAGACCTTTGTAAATGATTCTCTTACCACATGAAGCTTCCCATACTGACTTCTCATTTATTCCTCCAGAAATGAGATTTAAATTTGAGATAAGAGAATTATATGCAATGGAGAAGCTGATTTAAAGAACTGTATAACAGAGATTAAAAAATTTAGAATAAAACTGGATAAATGAATTATACTACATATGTAAAATGAAGTAATATGATGCTGTTAAAGAAGACAGCTCAATCTCTATATAATAAAAAGAAAAATTTCTGCAATCTATTATTATGTAGAAAAAACCCAAAATAGCATTTATAGTATACTTTCATTTTACAAAAAATACATATTTGTGTATGTATAGAAAAATTAGAAGGCATTGGCAGCAGTGTTCTCTAAGGTGTAGGATTACCAAGAATTTCTACGTGCACTGTCATTTTTTAATGTAATGTTTGGCCATTGTATAAGAAACAGGCATTATTTTTTGTAAGTACAAAAATAATAAAGGTTAAAAAATACAACTCATGCTATTCTCTCAAAGCATAAGCTCCTAGAAGACATGGATGGCAGATAAGTACAGCTCTATATATTGCCTGCTGCCACAAATAAGAAACCTCTTAACAAACACCGACTTTATAGATCTTTTTATGCTTGTTCCTTAAACCATCTGAATGCATTATCTATTATTCAAAATCACATTGCTTTTTTAATGACCTTGGGTCTAGAGCCTCCTGGGCTATGAGATTTGCCCACATACCTGAGCAAGTTGCAACTGTGGCTTAACACTGCAATATCTTTTACTAGGCAGAGTTTCTCTGTGTCTGCTTGAGCACGTGGCTGTGTACCTGAGAACTCTGGGAGGAGTGGTCATCTCAATTCAGTACATGTCAGTGAGAAATTAAAAAAAAAAAACCTTTTATTTGTTTTTGTACCTAATTTATTATACTTTGTTCCCTGTTGTAGCTGACCAAACAGAGTAAATAACAGTTTGAGGGAGCAGAAAGGAAAGGAAAGTTTGTCTTTGGAGGCAGAAGAAAGCAGGCATTGGTGCTTATAGGAGGTGAGGTGCATAACACCTCCTATACTTTTGGCTCTGTTAAAATAAGCTTGTTGTTTTAGCAGCTTCAGAATTGTACTCCACTCTGAGTGAGTTTTAACACACCCACGTTTTCAGCACTGAAAGCTACTTTTATTTGAGCAGCACATTTTCTCATGCTGATTCCAGACCCCTGCTGCTGTTCACCTTTTTTGTCCTTGTTTTAAATAGGAGTTACTACATAGGTAACTGAGTGAATGCTAGATTGTCATCTTCATTCAATCGAAGAAACATAAAAGCATGACAATAGAGGAGTGACAAGGTGAATATGGATGAAGAACTGGGCTACAGCTGTGACCAATCCAATCCTACTGGACTTGTTGTTGAGCTACTCTTGCTAAGCAAGGAGGCCATCTGGGTAATGGCTGGTGTAAGGATACTATGCCGTAGAACCCAAGTCCCCATTAAGCACCAAAAGACATGCCTCCATCTTCTGGGAAAGTTGTTGACTGAAGAGAGCTGCCTAGCTTAAGGTTATACTCCCTTCTCAGGGAAGCCTGTATCCAAAGACTGGTTATATGGGGAATAATGGCACAACCCCTTGACCCCAAGTGGGATAACTCTAACCCAGCTTCAGAGCTCCCTGAAGGGTACGTTGAGGTCTTGTTATATAACTGCATCATAGCACATCTTCTCTTTCTGCCCAAACCTGCTTTCTTCTTTTTCTCCAACAAGTATCAATAATGAGAGTACTACCCCCCAATAAACTTTGCATGCAAATCTCCATCTCAGAATCTTCTCCCAGGGGATTCAATCTGTGACTGTTAGGTTGACCTCATGACAGGGATGGCAACAAATACAAAAAGATCTCACATCTGCAACTGATAAAGCCATTTTCACAGGGAGAAAACCAGGATTTTATTCAATGTACAAACAAAATAAAAAACTGCTTCCTGTTGAGCAAATTTAGTATTGGATCTAAAACCACAGAAGAGTAAGGAACAGATTATTGACATATGGAAGTCTGTATTGAAGACACCCTAGGAAATATAGTTGAGGATAATTTTCCTCTTTCTGCTTTGAATCTTCCAGCAGGCTGATGACACAAATACTGGATTGCCACCTGGGAAAGACCAACTTGCCTCTCTAGAACATTTCCAGAGGGTCAGCAATCCCTTTAGAGGCTTTATGAAAAATCCTCTGAGAATCCCAGGCAGGCACAGAATGCTATAAATGTTAACACTCACAAGAAGCCCATTTGTCAATATGAGAGACCCCATTTTGGGGGGAACTTCTAGAAACCAAGTCGGAAGTACAGATGGTGTTGCTCTGAAAGATCTGATATAGGTTCATGAGTAACAATAGGTGGTGCTAACCCTGGAAGATGTGTGTTGAAAAAGAGAGGCTCAAATTGGCCCATGAAAATCTTTGTGGTCTACACTTTTCAGTCATAGAATCACACAGTATTACAAGCTAGAAAGACTCTTACAGATGACTCAGAGTAATAGGATAGAATTTTTAAAACTCTGGAATTCTT